CCCCCCCCCCTCAGGTCTCGTGACGTCATTTAAACGGTCACATAATTTGGCGGTTTCCCGCCACGATGACCTCATGTCCCCCCCCCCCCCTCTCACCCGCCCCCCCTCAGTCTCGTGACGTCATTTATAACGGTCACATAACTTGACGGTTTGCTGCTCCGATGACCTCATACTCCCCCCCCCCTCTCACCCCCTCCTCCCCCCCCCTCTCACCCCCCCCTCTCACCCCCTCTCACCCCCCCTCTCACCCCCCCTCACCCCCCCTCCCCCTCTCACCCCCCCCTCCCCTCAGGTCTCGTGACGTCATTTATAACGGTCACATACCCTCCCCCCTCGTAGGTGCGTGACGTCATTTATAACGGTCACATAACTTGGCGGTTTCCCGCTCCGATGACCTCATGTCCCCCCCCCCCTCTCACCCCCCCCCTCCCCTCTCACCCCCCCCTCTCACCCCCCCCCCCCCGCAGGTCTCGTGACGCTGACGCTGCTGGCCGTGCTGTGCCACTGCTGCGCTGCCCGCCCGAGGGGGCGGGGCTTCCAGCCCCAGAGGCCACGCCCACAATCGTATGACGTCACGCTCAAGCTCGCGCTCAAAATGCGCGGGAACGTGCGCGTGGCACTGGTCACGTGGGTGAGGAAGGGGGGTGGGGTGGGGTGGGGGGTGGGGGGGATGTCACGTGGGTGAGGAGAGGTCACGTGGGGGGGTGGGGGCAGCAGTCAACCCATGGCACCTGCTGGGTCTGTCACGTGACCTCCTCCTCATGCACCTAGCCTGGCACAGCAGCAGACAACCCATGGCACCTGCTGGGTCTGTCACGTGACCTCATGCACCTAGCCTGGCACAGCAGACAACCCATGGCACCTGCTGGGTCTGTCACGTGACCTCCTCCTCATGCACCTAGCCTGGCACAGCAGTACAACCCGTGGCACCTGCTGGGTCTGTCACGTGACCACCTCCTCATGCACCTAGCCTGGCACAGCAGCAGACAACCCATGGCACCTGCTGGGTCTGTCACGTGACCACTTCCTCATGCACCTAGCCTGGCACAGCAGCAGACAACCCATGGCACCTGCTGGGTCTGTCACGTGACCACCTCCTAATGCACCTAGCCTGGCACAGCAGCACAACCCGTGGCACCTGCTGGGTCTGTCACGTGACCACCTCCTCATGCACCTAGCCTGGCACAGCAGCAGACAACCCATGGCACCACCTGGGTCTGTCACGTGACCACCTCCTCATGCACCTAGCCTGGCACAGCAGCAGTCAGCCCATGGCACCTGCTGGGTCTGTCACGTGACCACCTCCTCATGCACCTAGCCTGGCACAGCAGCAGCAGTCAGCCCATGGCACCTGCTGGGTCTGTCACGTGACCACCTCCTCATCATGCACCTAGCCTGGCACAGCAGTCAGCCCATGGCACCTGCTGGGTCTGTCACGTGACCTCCTCCTCATGCACCTAGCCTGGCACAGCAGCAGCAGTCAGCCCATGGCACCTGCTGGGTCTGTCACGTGACCACCTCCTCATCATGCACCTAGCCTGGCACAGCAGTCAGCCCATGGCACCTGCTGGGTCTGTCACGTGACCTCCTCCTCATGCACCTAACCTGGCTGATGTTGCTGATGATGATGATGTTGATGATGATGTTGATGATGATGTTGCTGATGATGATGTTGCTGATGATGATGATGCTGATGATGATGTTGCTGATGATGATGTTGATGATGATGTTGCTGATGATGATGTTGTTGATGATGATGATGATGTTGCTGATGATGATGATTTGCTGATGATGATGTTGCTGATGATGATGTTGCTGATGATGATGTTGCTGATGATGATGTTGCTGATGATGATGTTGCTTGATGTGATGATGATGTTGCTGATGATGATGCTGATGCTGATGATGTTGCTGATGATGATGATGCTGATGATGATGTTGCTGATGATGATGTTGCTGATGATGATGTTGCTGATGATGATGCTGATGCTGATGATGTTGCTGATGCTGATGATGTTGATGATGATGATGTTGATGCTGATGATGATGTTGCTGATGATGATGTTGCTGATGATGATGATGTTGCTGATGATGATGATGCTGATGATGTTGCTGATAATGTTGCTGATGATGATGTTGCTGATGATGATGTTGCTGATGATGATGTTGCTGATGATGATGTTGCTGATGATGATGTTGCTGATGATGATGTTGATGCTGATCATGATGTTGCTGATCATGATGCTGCTGATGATGATGTTGATGATGTTGATGTTGCTGATGATGATGTTGCTGATGATGATGTTGCTGATGATGATGTTGCTGATGATGATGTTGATGGTCTCTCTCGCCAGGCCCGTGAAAAATTCGCGTTGGGTTCCCGAGTTCGCATCGCCGCCTTTCACTGCCTTGGATCATCAACATCAACAACATCAACAACATCAACAACATCAACAGGATCGCTCCCATCGTCATCGTCCACGTACCGGGCGTGGCGGAGAGCCACGGTCAGTGATGGCATCATCATCACCATCACCGCTATCACCACCATCATCATCACCACCGCAAGCATCAACATCATCACCACCATCATCACCACCACCACCATCATCACCACCATCACCACCACCATCATCATCACCACCATCACCACCACCATCATCAACATCACCACCATCACCACCACCACCACCATCACCACCACCACCATCATCATCACCACCATCACCACCATCACCACCACCATCAACATCACCACCATCACCACCATCACCACCACCATCATCATCACCACCATCACCACCATCACCACCACCACCACCATCATCATCACCACCACCACCACCACCATCATCATCATCATCACCACCACCATCAACATTATCACCACCACAAGCATCAACATCACCACCATCACCACCACCATCATCACCATCACCACCATCACCACCACCACCACCACCACCATCAACATCACCACCATCAACATTATCACCGCCACAAGCATCAACATCACCACCACCACCACCATCATCACCATCACCACCATCACCACCACCACCACCACAGCCATCAACATCACCACCATCACCACCACCATCAACATCACCACCATCAACATCATCACCACCATCACCACCACCACCACAGCCATCAACATCACCACCATCAACATCATCATCATTTGGATCACTCTGTATAACAACAACCCATATTTGTCCTGACATTTGTTCCACTCTTTATAAATCATAACCGTGTGTCCTGACTTTTGTACCATCCCGTATATTATTATAATTATAAAATATGTATATTCTTGGTTCTTTTGGTAAAGTCACGTATTGAAAGCTCGGGGTAAGCATTTACACTATGAGACATGTCCTTTACCAGTGACAAAATATAATAGTAGGTTTTTACCCTTTCAACTGGTACAAAAACTGACACCTTTATACAAGGCATCATGTTTGCAATAACCACAACACAAGCAGTCAAAATGCAAACAAAAAGAAACAACTCTGATAATGATAATGTATGATAATTGTTTTGTACCCTTTTATCTGGCAACAAAACTGACACCTTTTTTTACAAGGAGTCATGTTTGCATAGACCACAATACCTGCAGTCATAATACAAACAAAAAACACAACTCTGATAATGTATGTACTGTCCTTGAAGTTGATTGGTCCACACCCGAGACAGCTTTCCTTAGAGCCTAGTCTCACATGGTTCTTGAAGTTGATTGGTCCACACCCGAGACAGCTTTCCTTAGAGCCGAGTCTCACATGGTCCTTGAAGTTGATTGGTCCACACCAGAGACAGCTTTCCTTAGAGCCTAGTCTCACATGGTCCTTGAAGTTGATTGGTCCACACCCGAGACAGCTTTCCTTAGAGCCTAGTCTCACATGGTCCTTGAAGTTGATTGGTCCACACCCGAGACAGCTCTCCTTAGAGCCCAGTCTCACATGGTCCTTGAAGTTGATTGGTCCACACCCGAGACAGCTTTCCTTAGAGCCTAGTCTCACATGGTCCTTGAAGTTGATTGGTCCACACCCGAGACAGCTCTCCTTAGAGCCCAGTCTCACATGGTCCTTGAAGTTGATTGGTCCACACCCGAGACAGCTTTCCTTAGAGCCTAGTCTCACATGGTCCTTGAAGTTGATTGGTCCACACCCGAGACAGCTTTCCTTAGAGCCTAGTCTCACATGGTGTTGGACCAGATGACGCCAAAAGGCGCACAACTCAAAAACAGCGCACTATCAGAGTATCAACTTCAAGGACAGTGCATATCATTATCATCATCAGAGTTGTTTCTTTTCGTTTGCATTTTCACTGCTTGTGTTGTGGATATTGCAAACATGATCCCTTGTATAAAGGTGTCAGTT